TATTTAAAAAAAAACACTTCAGGCCACTGTAAATTCAGACCTAGAAATGCCCTGTCATATACTGTACACATTGACGCCGGGATCATCCAAGGAGAGAGAATTATGCATTGGGCCTGCTATGAGCTAGAATATCCCAGAAACTGCTGCAACATGCTTCACGTCACAGAGACATCACTGGTGCACTTCTGAAACATCACAACAGCAGCTGCCTTAGTGGCCTACTGCATATGCATCCTTAACAGCTCACTGCAGTGCCTCAGACTCAATGCACGTCTGCACTGGGCACTTTTTGCATGGTCTACCATGTTTTTTTCTTCTTTCACTACTTCTATATATTTCTTGCCCTGGTTGTTTTATTTATTATGCTGTTCTGTACTGTCTGGTGTTGTCTGCTGTACTGTGTATGTCCCGAGAGATCAGCGTGAATATGAATTCCAATGCACAGGGGTATGTGGGAATAAACTCCTTTATCACTCGATCTACAATCCTAACGTCATTGTGTTGCTCTCTATGAGACACAGATGCTTTGCTGTCATTGATGCCAATGGCGACGATTAAAGATACCATCATGTGACTTGCATTTACAGCCCCTGTGTGATCTTATCATTATCAAAATGTAAAACTTGAAGACTGTGATGTTTGAGATATATACTTTGCTTTAAGAATACTTTATTCATCGTCGATTTCAGTTTTTTTTGTTGTTGGTCATCTGGTACCTCTTCAGTACACCAATTTTCCATTACTTGCACAGTTTCTTTTTTGGGCCAGTAAATTAACAGCATTTTACGGCTTGTTCCCAGCTACCATAAGCCTTGCTGTAGTGGGCTGCTTGATCCATGTGGCCAATTTTAAAAGCCTATCAATAACTCATTGTGCTCTGTAGATTGTTATTGCTGTTCCAGAGTAAGACATTACTCGTTCATACACAGTTAAACAACATAACATGGCCAACTCTATCATGTGTCAGTACGTGGACTTTTCATCACTTAGTCACATTTCTTAAATAACGGGGCCCCTGACATATGTGAGTTAATGGCACCAGACTTATTTCTCAGCTGACTGCACTTTGTCGTAACAGTTAGACAGATCTTAAAGCACCATCATAAATTTACCTCCAGTTAGTCATCGAGCACTGAGTTACACTACTTCCCAGACCGCAGCTGATGTCATTTTACAATCCCTGCTTATTCCTCCCTCTCTCTTCCCAACTAACTGTGGACAAATGTGCTGCAACAGAACAAAATGCACCTTCAAACTAAAAACAAATATGAAAAATAAACTGTGTGTGCTTTACTTCGTCATCACGAAGCGATTTATTGTAAGGGCTTCGTACAAGGGGCACGTCTTTCCCACAGACATGCCAGGCTTAGAATTTTTATTCACAAACATTTTAGAAACAGCTTCCGAAACAAGACAGAAGACAGGTACCACGGAGCGAGGACAATATAAACAGGATAACCTGTCAGCACACCAGACTGCAAGCACCAGGACTGGAACCCTGGGCTCGTGTGGCCTGCAGCTCATTCTGACTCCTCCACATGAGTCGTTAGGCCGGGAGGTGTCGACTGACTGACTGAGGAGCAGACAAATGTCAGCGAGTCCAGAGAGACATAAAAATGGATCGGACCACCCTGAGAGCGCGCAGCCGGAGAAAAAGGAGAGATAATATTAAAAGGCTGATCGGGACGAACGGCAGCTTTGGTGAACCTGTAGCTGCGAAAACTTGTTTTTACAGCAGAAATGTATTTATTTATTTGCTGTTTCAGAAGGCCTACTTTTTTTATTTAAATGCTGCTGGAATTCTGTTTTCACTCTAGCTCCTGCCTATAAAAAGTGAACACAATAATCAATTGCAAATGTTATTTTTTGCTCCTTAATTGATTACAATGGCCCAGAAGTGCAAAACACAAACAAAAAAGGCAGCACAAACAGCATGTCTGGGCCTATCCAATCGACACTGCTCATGGGTAAACAGCAGCACACGAACGTTATTATTCATACAATATGGTTGTTACTAGGAAAATAGAAATGGCTGACAAGGCCTTAAGTTTTCATTTGCATTTAATAAATACACTGTTATTTTAATAATGGACTTGCTAGAAAACTCAACTAGTGACAGGTGTTCATTAGGTGGAAACATATAGGCTGTGGTCCTCTGGCACAGCAGTAGTGCTCTCAGCGCTGTGGCGGATAAAAAATACTGGCCTTGCTCACTCTTCGCTGCTTCGTTTCTTTTTTCAGATTCATTGGAAATGTTCTGTCTCTCTGGAGCTCGGCTGTAAAAAACAACATGCACAATTACTGCAGGATCTATTGGTAACCAGGGCGAGCCTCCATCTACAGACACACTATTCCCTGCTATTTCAGAGGACTGGCCTGTCTCTGTGCTCTCTATCAGACGACAACATGCCACGCCTGGAAACTAGAGACCAGGAGTGATGCTCCAGAGCAGGGGCCTGCAGCCTATCCTGGAGAGCTACGCTCCAGCAGGTTGTAAGTCATCATTAAAAAGCCACTTTCTAAAGTTCTGAAACATTTTCACTGTGATCAGTTAAGCAGGAAGTGTGCTAAATGAAGTAATTTAGAAATCATTTGGGACCACAATCTATGTATTCTTGGGTCCACAGTGGTTAACACTGCTGCTTCACAGTGCTGGGGCCCAGGGTTGAATTCCTGGGGTGCTGTCTGTGTGGAGTTTGTATGTTCTGTTTGGTTCAGTGTCCTCCAGGTGCTCCTGTTTCCTCCTGCAGTCCAGCAGCATGCTGGTAGGTTAAAAGGAAACAGAGAAGTGACTTAAAAACGGAATTTCTCCTGCTGAAATGGGACCGATACTGTATTGTGTGATTCCCAATCACTGCCTGCAGTGATTCCCAATCCCGATGGGATTGACAAAGCCACTGGAATTGTCATCCCAAAGCGTCATCATCCTGAGTTAGGCAGCTCCTTCACGGATGAAAACCTGGAGGACGTTTCGGGTTTCAGCAAGCTGATATCTCCCAGTCCGCTTTTTAGGTCTGGGATTGGGCTAGCTATAAAAACAACAAGACGAAAGGGCTTAAAATGATAACACGGTCACTATCACTGCCTGACATAACCCGTGAGATAAAGACGTGTAAAATATTAAAGGCAGTTTCAGAGGTATCTTTAAACACTCCAGAGGGAGTTCATGGCGCCTCCTATCCCTACCTTACTTTTTTTCAATAGGACGGATTAGGTTGCTGCAGACTGAGCCTTTCCTCTTATCTACATTCCTACGGCAGCCTCCCTCGACAGCGATTTTTTAAGTGAAAATCCAGCAGGTTCTCCACTCTTGAAAAATGAATATGAAATTTCTGAACTTACAACTGCAAGATTAGAATTAATGGGTGGCTCCTTATTAAAAAAAAAAAACAGTATGATTAAAGTCCCCATTTACTTGAAAATTCATTAAAATGGAAACTTCATATTTATGTCTAGAATCATATGAGTTTAAGATTTTTTTAATAAAAGAATTGAGCTGATATATATTAAGCATCACAAGAAATCTATTAGTCTTTAAGCTTGTATTTTTTAGATACATAAAGTATATGGATTTTGGAAACTGATACTATCTTTGTCATCATTTAGATTAATATTATCATTCGTGGCTGACTTTGACATCCGAATAAACTCTAGCCTAGCTCAGTACTGAGAGTGTTAAATGGGCACAGGATATGTGGTGAATGTCAGGATTGTTCAAAATCAAGGAGCAAATCCACAGAAATTAACCAACATACAGCATTTATCAGGACAGTGCCCCTGAGCCACAGGTGTGTTGGAGGCTGGGCTATATCTGCTATCTGGGTGATCACAGCCAGTAAACGATCATCTGGAAAGACATCAGTCACACAGGCCAGCATGTCAGGTAATGGCAACATCACTACCCCAGACATGCTGCCAGCCCGTGACGCTCACTGTAGACAAATTGCAGATGAGCCCTCTTGATGACAAAGGTAAATCATGTCTGTTCAGTGATATGTCAGTGCATTGGCACCTTCTTTATAATAACTTCGTAAATTTGTTGCAGATATACTGTTAACGAAACGTTGTTTTTTTTTTATTCCAGGAAAGTTTCTTCCGATGCTGTGTAATTGTAAAATACAACAACAATACACGTAATCGCCTTCAGAAGCGAAATACGTTTTGATTTTTTAAATCAAATCAAATAAATAAAAATCCGGAATCACAGCAAAGAGCCTCCGTCTGACCATATGTCATTTTTCCTAGAATGGAACAGGTATGTTTCCTTTCCCCGTCTTTTCCGTGCACATCATTGCAACACACACACCCAGGCCGGGCCCCCAAAGTGCAAAACTTGGCCTCGCCCTCGCACATGCCCCGCCTTGCGGTTTAACAGGGTTGGTGGCCTGCAGGGGGCGGGTGGTCCTAAGAGAAGGGAAAGGTCGGAGCACTTAAGCGAACTTCAATGTCAAGTTTCAGAAATTACAAATCCCCTATATTCAGGAATTAAATGAAATAGTAGCCGGTCGGGGGCGTGCCTGGAAAAAAAAAACAGCTTTGCATTTGCAGAGAGTTAGGTGCCTTATCTGCCGCGTTGTTTTTTTTTCAGTGTTGCGTTGTGGGCCGTGCTATGGTACTGGGCGGCCCCCGGTGCGAGAGGCCGGGACGCAGTTTAATCTTTCGGAAGGTCTGAGGCTTGTTTCAATGGTTGCGTGACGAGATTCACGCCGGCTTGTTCTTGTGTGTAAGTCGGGGGCTGCGATGGGGAAACTCCGAGCCCGGCTGTGCACCTCACAGTGAAATATCCCTGATAGCAAGCTGAGGCTCAGGGGGGTCAGGTTGATTTCCTTTCCTGGAATGGTTTGCCTGGCTCTCCTCTTGGGGAGAGTGCATGCAAAAAACACCCGGGCGAGGTTGAGTTCAGTTGCATGCAGGTGGCTGTTCAGTCCCGTTGTGGCGGGATACCAGAAAGCGGTTTTCTACCGTAGGTTGCGTGTGCGTCCGTGCAGAAAGCCGCAGAAATGCCGCACCCCGTCTGCGGCCGAGTGAAAATCAACAGGACACCGCCCAGCAAAGCCGGCGATGGCTGCCCGAGCCGGAGGAGGTGGCTGGCCGGCGGTGCTGGACCGCCCGCAGCCCCGAGTGGCTCCAGGGCTGTGGCCGGAGGGTGTGATGCCGCAGGCCCTAGCGCCCTCGCCGCTGAACCCGCCTTCACGGCGGGGAAGCAGCAGCAGCAGAAAGAGGAGCTGACAGACGTGACGGCCGAGGAGTGCGGCACAGGTACTGGGCTGTCAGGGAGTAACGCTGCTGGCTTACGGGACGGTCAGTCGAGGTTGGGCCGGGTTCTGAGGAGAGAGGGAGCTGGTAAAAACGGGGGGTCCGGACGGGAAAGCCGCGCCGAGCCCGACGCGTCGGCGCCGCCGAGTGGGGAGAGGGGAGGAGTTGCTGCCGTGCCCGGGAACGGCCGGTCTGACGCCGGCCAGCGCGACGAAGCCGCCGAGGATGAAGCGCCGATCGAGAGGGCCGGGGAGCCACGGTCGCCGAGCAGCGAGGGTGGGACCAGGAAAAGGAAAAAAAGACCGGCCAGGCTGACGGGTGGACGGAAGCGGCCTCGCCGAGCGCAGAGCGGCGCGGCCGCGATTCCGAGTCCGACGCCCCGGGCGCTCTGGGCGCCGGTTTCGCGGGCCGGGTCCGCCGGGCCCTCGGGAGACCAAGGGAGCACAGGGGCGCCTAGGAAGGCGAATAAGGGAGTCTCCCACGGAGAAGCGTGTGGGCAGGTTGTGCCAGGTGAGGAACTGTGGCAGAAAGACCACGCAGACGGCGCGGAGCCTTCAAAACGTTGGTGGCAGGCCCGGAGCGGTGGCCCCTGTGCAAACACAGCTTTCCCAGTGGGTCTCGGGAGCAGATGTTTCTCAAGCCATCACTTTAAAACACCCACCTAAAGTCTGGCTTTAACTCGTAACCGAGGCAGTCATTAGTGGGGTGTCTGAAACATCAGTGTGTGACAGAGTTGAGCAGTCTGAGAAAAACATGCTGAGACTCGGGTCATAGGAGTCCCACCTCTCCAAATGACACCTAAGTAGCCCGGACGTTGTGATATTGGGAATTGGTTTGTCCAGTCTGTCCTACGCGTCATGGCTTAAAAAAACCCCAACTAAACCATTCAGGATCGCGTATGTTAAGATGAGGTATAGTCAAGGGAAGGGTGAAGATTCCTGATGGTGATTTTTAAAAATCAGCTCAACAGCCCTGTTATTGCAGTAGCTCACTCATTGGGCGCTGCAGGGTGTTAGAGTAATTCTCTTTGTGCTGCATACATTCGCTTCCTCTTGACTGGACTGTAGTTCTGGTGTGAAGATCAGGAGTGACGTGTCCTTACCAGCTTGAGGTAGGAGGACTCCAGTCTGGGATGAGGAGAAAGGAGCTGGTTGTGGGTGTTCAGTGTCCTACCTGTCCAGTACTCTCCCTGGACCACTCAGGAACTGCTGTTTATCGATGAGCTGGAAGTATAGTAGTCGTAATAATAAGAATTACTAATAATAGTAATAATCATGATAATAATGAATAATCCTTGTGCTTATATAGGGGTTTCCTGGAAACTAGACGTGAAGTGCTCTACAAGTAATGGGGACTCCCCTCCACCAATGTGCAGCCCCACCTGGGTGTTGTGCAGAGAACTGTAACACTCCTGATTGTAGCATGTAAATAAGTTTTACAGTGTAGCGCAAGCCACTGTGTGCATTTCATGTTACCCATCAAGTGTTTATTATTTTTACTACTTGACTATGAACAGTTAAATGTTTCCAAAGTCAGCACTGAACAAGACTTATGCATAGCTCACTCATGAAGTGCCTGCGATGTGGTTGGAATGATTTTTTGCTCTTTGTCGTATTATGGCCTTTAAGTGGAAACTGTTATTTGTTCTGATTTGACAGTATATTTAGTGCTGCGCTAAAAATGTCTGAATGAGAAATATGCTTCTTTCAGGGTTAAAGTAACAGCTGTAGAATATCACTCATATAAACTCTTGCATCTATGTGATAATACTTTATCAGATTCCTGAGTCATGTTACACTGTAGTCACAGTACATGCTCATTCATTCATAGCTGAAGTGAAAAGGGCTAGCCTCAATATTTGCTGTAATTCACATTTATATTTTAATATTTTTTTATACAAATAGACTTTTATGGCTAAACATGATGAAATAATAGTGTTGACATTTACAAATGGTTCTGAGATATGTAATAGATCATGTGAATTGCAATTTAGCTAGTTTCTTGTTCATAGGAAGAAATCGTTGGAAGACAGCCTTCAGGAAAAGAGCACACTGAAGCAGATTGGTTTCATGTCCTTTTAAGCTTTTAGTGTCATGGTTAAAGAATAACATGGACATTTCTGCGAAGTTTTGAGTGATGAAATCTTAAGGTTTTTTCTTTATACTAGCGCTTGTAGTGTATGCTGTTTCACCTCGCAGTATGATTAAAAAACAATCAGTGCCTCCACAATAATGTTGAAAATATCTGCAAAATGTAAATATTGGCACTGTACGTCATGCAAAATGTTCATTAAAATTTGTTTCAATTTTGTCTATAGTAGAGACATGGTGTGCAAGTTATTGAGAGAGTTAATGTGAGAGAGTACAAGGAGATCTGTTTTATCTCTTCTTTATAGTCATTATGAGATTTTGACTTTTCAACTGTCAACTTTTTTTTTCTGCTTCCAGAAAAGGATGGAAGTTCTCCGTTGTCCTCTGGTTTCCAAAGTCAGCTGCCGAAACAAGCTGTGAGTGTTTCCTCTGAAAGGACACACAAAAGAAGAGCGGTCAAGCCTCTGTGCTGTCAGGAGTGTACTAAAATAAAGTACAAGAATCCAAAAGTTAGTACACCAGTTAAAGGTCCCTCAGTGAAGATCAATACAGAATCTGAAACTTCCAAGTCCAGGATGAAGCCCAAGCCATGCACAGCCCTTTCAGAAGCCATCGGAAAACCGCCCAGGATCAGTGACTTTGGGATAAATAAGTATCCCATTCTTGAACTATGTGATATAGCTAAAGTGCTTGAGGTTCCTGTTGGTATTGCTGCTTATCGGTATGTTTTGCCCACGGAACTGAAAAGAAAAAATATAAAATGTTTCAAAAAAGAACGCAGGAAACCGATCTGGTTGAAACGTGGTGACAAGCGCTACGCAGAGGGTGTCACCTTCTACTCCCAGACCAACTGCACCGTCCCAAAGAAGACAACACAGGAGTTACCAGATGTGGTAAGTGGGCTCCTTCAAAAAGCCTGTGTCAGATCCTGTGAGAAACGGAGCCAAGGCAGCAAGGCTGGGTGTGGCGTACATGAGGAGCCCAGCGTTAAGAGAAGCAAGGTGTCCAGTGGAAAAGCTGAAGATCCAGCTAAGTCCTTAAATACAAGACAGAAAAAACAACCTGAACAGTGTACTGGTGCCGCAGAGCCTGGAGCATCTGCGTCTGTATTGACAAACGGTGAGGTGAAGCTGCTTTCGGGTGCTGAAAGCCCTTACCTTTGTTTGGGAGAAGTCACGTTAGGAAACCTGTCTGGTGGTTTGCAGAGCTGCCCGGCAGAAAATGAACTCAAAAGTAGTGGCTACGCAGAAAGGTGGGACTCTGAGAAATCGGAGGCTGCTGGGGACGTTCTCCCAGCAGGAGATTATTCCGATGACCCTCCTGAGGAAGAGCTCAGAGATGCTCGCAAAAGCCGGGATCCGTCGAGCTGTCGACGAGCTGTGCCCTATCTGGCGTGGTGGCAGCTCTCGTGCGCGCGGACGTATGTTGCCTGGCCCGGGCTGAAAGCTCAGCCATGGGCAGCACCAGCGCCTGGGTTTTCTGAATTCAGCAGGTCTTTAGATCAGACGCCTCGTTGCCTTGACGCCTCAGTCGATTCTAATGTAGCAGGCGGTGCTGCAGTGCAGATGACAGGCGCCGAATGTGAAGCAGGCCTACGTCTGAGCGCAGAATGTCCGTCCCTACAACAGGAAGACGACGCTCTGAAAGGGCTCCTGGGCTCTTGCAGTTCATTGGGTTTCAACACGCCACCCCAGGCATCCCAGGAGAGCACTGTGCATGATTCAAGCTCTCTGTTGATGACACCAGAAGGGCAACAGGGCGCTGGCACCGTGTGCAGCGTGGCTCCCAGCAACCCGAGCACGAGCACACCAGACAGAGAGCAAACTGTCCGGGACTGTAGTCATGGTGAAAAGGAAGTATTGCCAGGCAGCGACGATTCTAAAAAGCAAGAATTGCATCAGTTCAGTATTCCCTTTCAAAGGATCTGTGTTTCTGCACCGCTGGAGGAATGCGAGCCATCCGCACGTGTAGGGAGACACCCTCTTAATGGCGGGTCTGAAGCTCTCCAGCAGTGGACAATGAGGAGACCAGCTGTGGATCCCTGTACCTTGACTTCTGAGCCTCTGCCCAGTGCAGACCAGAAAATTAAAGGGCCGAGGACATGCTTAGCCTTCAAAGCAAACCATTCAGCATCTGTTCCTGATGTAAGTAGATCTTCTTCTGAAGATGAAGATGGTTTCGAGGATTTTGCCACTTTGTATTCTGGAGAGATCATGTGTGAAATACAGGATGCTTGTCCAGTTGGCCCCCACTCTTCAGTAACCAGTAACCCCTCGAGCACGAGTGATGGAGAGCCATCTGAGCACATCATGGACGTGGTCAGAGCGTACGAGCAGGATGCCATCGTTCTGGATGTGATCCAGGACGATCCAGATTTGTTTGGAAGCCTAGGAGAAGTTATTGAGGCTGTAGAGAGGCCAAGATGTGAAAAGAAAAGCTTGGGGATTCATAAACTCAGGCCTACAAAAGCACCCCAGACAGGGTCTGATTACAAGATTTCAGCAGGTAACAGACTGAGGTATGTGTTTCTGTAAAAGAAAAAAGCCGGTTCAGTTTCTTCATTCGGAGATCTCATCATGTTGTAGGAACAGGAGTTTGAAAGTCCATCTTCTCTATAAAATGTGTTTGTCATCATGGCCTCTAAATTATTTTCTAAATGAAAGTAGCCACATCTGCTAGATGCACATCTGTGCAAGCTCTAAACATTTCACATTTTATAAGAGTTAAGTGAGTTTAGAAAATAAAGTATTTTCAGAAGCATTTTTGATTATTTAATTGAAAAGGCTGGGGTGGCTCATTTCAGTATTGAATTGTGGTTTTAATCATACTATTATACTATGCTATTAATAACCACATTCAAGTACCACTGCAGTGTAACATTTGAAGAGCTCTGGCTCAGTACTGGTGTGTTGGTTCTTAAGAGTGTTCTGTGTTACAGTGTTGGGTTTCACACTGGACTGAAGAGCCCAAGGAAGAAGATGCAGGGAAACTCGGCGCCCACTCTGAAAGGTATGGCGCTCACAATTAAAATTATTTTTAGAATGTTTTTAAACTGTTTTTTTTATGTTGTCCTAAATTGTTCTGGGTGATGTAAACTGTAATTTTTTTAAACCATTTCAATAAAATCACAGTTTTTAATTATTTTAAAGCTGATTAACACAGTGATTTCTTAATGTAGATTTAAATCTTATGTATGGATTATGTCCGTGATTTGCTCATTTTTGGACATGGATTAGGCTGCAGTGTTTGAAGTTTATCAAAAGTTAAAGTATCTATGGAACAAATCATTGATGTTGCCACCCCTCCTCCAAACTCCTACTTGTACATTACAGGTGTTGCTACTAACGTTTCATCCTGTAATGGTGGGGATCCTTCTGAACCAGCTACTGGCTTGTCAGCAGATGCAGACTGCTCGACTTTGAAAGAGGCGGTGAGTCAGCTGGTACAGTATCAGAAATGTTGTAAAGCATTTTTTCTGTCTTACAATAGTTTAAACACACATGCGGTTTTGGGGGAAATGTGGCCTTCATAAATGACATGAGAACTTTATTAATAAAGAGTTATGACGCTACATGTCCACTCAACCACACGAAGCCAAGAGCTTTTATTTTTTCATCTTTAAAATACGAAGAATGGTGTGCAAGGTTAAGATACTGAGTAAAAGCAAACACTGATTTCTGTAGATGAGCATGACTGTCTGCTTTGGAGTGATCAGTAAATCTTGTAAAGGAGGCATGTTTGCACCCACACAGTCTTGTGATTGAAACAAATACAAGGAAAAACTGCGGACTCACCAGCATCCAGATTATTGGAGAATCAAAGTTTTGTATGAATGTATGTAAGTGGTCCCTTCTGTCTCAAAGACCTGTAGAGTCTGTTGGGTACAGTATCTTTTTGATGTTGTCAGCTGTTTACTACACACTGTGCATCACATATTGTCTGTTGTTTTTGCTCATTAAAATACAAATTCTGCTTGAATGCAATGTGCACGTCTGTGTTGTAATTTATTTCAAGCTTCTGTGCAGTACCGTATTGCTGTAGTGAACAATTTTCTATGTGGGTGCTGGGTGTTATTTCCTTAAAACTTCCCTGGGATTGGCTCCAGTCAGTGCAGTTAAATATTGCTCAGTACTTTGTGCCATGCAAAAGTATTTTTGACCCATCCTATGGTGTCCCATTTTATGAAGCTATGAAACGATGCGTCTAGTTTTTTTTCAACTTAATATTCAGAATCATGTCGGTGTGCTCAAACAGATGACAAGGGTCTTTTGAGTTCTTTATACCCGCCTCCTGATGTGTGCCTCTGTGTACAGCTTTATCCCCGACTCTGTACTTTGTGGAGGAGCTGTAACTGAGACTAATGTCTACTTCAGGGTGCGCTCCTTCAAGAGTTAAAGCAACACTGTGAAAACTGTGAGGGTCTGAATACTTTTGCAAAGCACTGTGTCCTTGGACTGCTGGGGACAGTTTTGCTGTGATTAAGGCCATTTGTTTAATAAAAACCAGCAAAGGAGATGGATAATTAACAATACAGTCTCAAACTAGTTCCTGGGGGACCTAGTTTCTTCTGTTTGTTTGTTTTTCCCCCAGCAGGGGAATTTACTTAATTTACTTAATTTCTTAGTTACACACAAGATTTTTTTAATGCCACTTACAAATGATTCACACCGTGCACATCCCTGAAAGTACATTTTCCTGTGAAAGGAAGTCAGGTCCTGGGAGGGCGCATGACTGTGTAGTTAAGTCCCTGAGAGTTAGATCCAGGCCCTCCAGGAAGGTCCCCTCTCGGCCTGGTCAAAGGGAAGATGCCAAACACTGTCTGAACCCAGGAACTGGTACCTGTGCGCAGTGGCTCACAGTTTGGGTCTGTACCTTGTTTTGTGTGTGTAAACACAATTTAAGGTGGAGTTTCGTGCGCCCTTTCTTAAGAGCGGTCACGGTTGCCTCTATTTTATTATCAGATGTGAGAATGTGCACGGCAGACAGTTATGGAGAGAAATGTTCACAAGGCTGCAGCTGTCTGATGTGCTAATGGGGGCTGCGGCCCACAGTGCAAGTGAAGGCTGCTTCTCTTTCTTACAGGTTGCCGGAGCTGAGGGACAGTGTGACGATCTCGAGACAAAGTAAGACTGCAGGGCCTGTTTTTACCTGACCTTTCTTTTTCTGAACCACTGAATCAAAGTTTTTGGAAACATTTGCACAACAGAAAAGGCGGAGTTCTCTCTTGATGAAACTTATGATAATGCTTCTGGTTAATGACGTAACGTGATGATGTAAAGTAAGCAAATAAAATGCACTTTTAACATTTTTATTAGAATGGAGATACACAGTATATGGCTGTTGATGAGATTTTAACCCTCTGTTTAAAAGATATTTAAATAGAGGGTTTTTCCAGTTTATCTTTTTTAAGGATTTCTCTTACTTTTTATTTTAATATACAGTAGAACACATGCAACACCTGTGCCGTGCAGAATGAAATAGAACTGAATAGCAGCTCTTTAAGAATTTAAACATGTAAGGCTCTGTAAAGTGATTTGATTGGAGACCATGCCGACAAACAAATTTTAGGTAGAAGATGGACTTTCAAACTGCTCTTCCTGCAATGTGTGAGGTCAGTGTTAAAAGAGCTCCTAAGCAATGCGCAGTTTACATTTTACAGCTAAACTACTCCATATCTGCCTGTGCTCTTAGGTTATCTTTTCAAAAATTAAGAAACTTTGCCCAAAGGCCAAAAAACATTACAAGGTCCCCATGTTGTCCTGTATTACCGTGGTGCAGCAGTTTATCTCCCCAGTAGCAGTTCCCCCAGGGATGTGGTTTAAGAGGAGCAATTCCTGGGCAGGTCAGGATCCCTGGGGTGACAGTGAGCATGCTCTCTTGGGGCCATTTCAGATCTCAGACCAAGGCGTGAAGACCGTTCAGGAAAAAGAGCGGGCCATGTTAAGATGTAAAGTCTTGTATAGCACCGGGACTTCGAGCTGTTATTGCTGGGATTGCTTCTTAACAGCAAAGCGAGTATAGCCCACACTTGTTCAGTGGAGAGTTAGTTGAGATATGCTGTTTTGTAAGAATACGGTATCTGGGACGCTCACATGTTGTCTTAAGTGACATAGGGTGCTTTCATGTCATTTTAAAGCCTAGTTTGAAATGGAGGGGGAGAATCTACCGCCTTTATTTGCTCCTTCTAATGAAGAGTCGTGTATTTTCGTTATTGGTGAAATAAGACGCTTGCGATTGCTCTGTTTTACAGTGCTAGCAGGCTCCTGGGGACAGTGGAGGCAGGATCTGGACAGGAGCTTATCCCAGCTGCTCCCGGTGGGTCCCAGCCTTCGCCACGGTTTCTGGAAGTGTCCCGTAGTCGTGTCGGAATTGAACCTGAGCTGGTTGATTACTCATCGTCCAGCCCTCCAATTGCTTTCTGTTGTAGGAAATGATGATACCCAGCACCGCGAGGTCTGCATGGGTGCAAGCTTTGCCTTAACTTCCATCTCTGATTTTAAAAAGCGTGAAGGGAAGTTGCGCCATAAAAAATGTATTTGTCTTTTGTTTCAATGCAATACCGCTCCTGTGATGTGGATGTGATGAAGGTGAGGTCTGTGCGCTGCAGCTAGAGGAAACTCTTTATTCTGAGAAAGACGAGACCGTGGTGTTGTTTTCCTGTGAAGGCTCCGAGGCCGGAAGTAAGGAGAGGGAGGAGGCACCCGACGGCGAGAAGCAGCAGCAAGGCCCAGCCATGCCCAGCGCAGTACGTTGACTCTCGTCAGTGAGCTTGAGATCACAGACGCAGAACGGATGTCGTGCGTGAAGAACGGTTTTGAAATGATTTCGGCCTGCTGAGTAGTGGTGTGTTGCTTCTCTCCAGGGCAGTGGAGCCACGGAGGACGGCTTCAACAGGTCGAAATACTGCAAGTTCTTCTTCAGCGCCACCATGAGCTGTTACCGGAAGCCCTGTCGGTTCCTGCACGTGCCGCTGCAGGGAGACGAGAAGGTGAGCCGGGAGCCCCACAGCGGCATCCTCCGGGGAAAAGAAGGATCGGAAACTTGGCTGCACGGGGGGCAGGGTGGTCAGCATTTCTGAAGAGAATGGATGAGCAGATCGATTTTTTTTTTTGCTCTGCCATTGTAATGAGTTGGATGGTACAGGAAGGAAATCCCCTAAACTGGCTTTTAAAAATGGAAAGAACTATGCTCTTCTGAACTATTTTCACTGCAGTTTAGCCGGAACCCTGAATTCTGGATTATTTGAGCATGAATATGAGGTTTTTATGGAATATTTTTGTGTGAAAGTGCTCCCCCTGCTGGTCACAGTATGTCACAAGGTGGCGTTTTTATCCTCCTGTATTCTTTATCTGACGAGGCAAATAGTTTTCTGAATTATTGATGAAAGGCAAAAGGTTTGTCTTATCTGAAACAGTTCTCTAGGGTGTGTTCTAGTTACATGTTGCTTGGTAGAAGTAGATGTTAAAATCTCATCCTTGTTGAATATTAACTGTCACTGGAGATTTTTACACATTTCCAACTTCGTTTTTTTTTTTTCTTGGTTCTTTAACGTTTCTTTTCGTTTCTTGTTTTTTTTTTTTTTTTTTTTAAATTTTTTTTGGAATTCTTTTGGTTTTAGTTCCAGTTTTAAGTTGGCTTTTTTTTTTTAAACAAGGAATGCCGAAATGATGAAACATTGCTTTTCGATTGTTGCCACTGGGATTTGGGAAGTAATTTGACGTGATTCTTCCTATTTTTGGGAGTCAGTGTGAGGAGTAAATGTTTGATTAACTGCATAAAACGTGTCAAGTTAATTTCCTGTTCGGGGTTTTTGTCCACACCAGAAGGATCACTGGGGTGGTTTAAAGATGAAGGCCTAAAACCATTAACACAGAGGTTATGCAAGAAAAGGGTGTTCGGACCATTTAGCTTTGAATTATTACTACGTTTATTTTATTGCCTGAGTAGAAATTATTTTGTGATGGCATAGTGCAGAGTTTTCTTTCACTAAGACAGTTATTGGGTGATTGTTTTTGTTTTTCAGTTTTGCATGGAAGCTGTTGAGATGTTCTTGAACACTTGTAATCCAGATTATTTACAACGTGCAGGTGGGGGTAACGCCTGCATGCTAATTTAATTTTTTTTTTCCTGTGTCTTGGATTATCCTTAAAGCCAATGTAGTACTCGTGTTACATTACAGATCTGTTCTAGGGTGAATTAAGGAGCAATTATGTAGAAACTGCGGAGACAGGACTGTTTTCCTCCTTGCATAGGGATTGATTTCCTTTGTCTTTATTGATCGTGTTAGTGAGGAGTTTGCATGTATAGATGGATAGTTTACTTGACCAGTTATTTTTAAGACTCATTTTTGCCGTCATAAGCAAATCATGTATAATGGTTGAAGTGTGTGTCATCGCATCACATCATCACATTGTAATCCTAAAGACTGATTGTGTTTTACTTTTTTTATACCTTTTTTCCTCAGTTGTTGTTTTTACAAGGTACTATCAGAATTCTTACCCTGGAGTTTATTTTAAATCCGATGTCTTGCAAGTCCTGCTGTCAACACTGTTGAGGAAAGGTCTCTTTGGAGGTTTATTTGCTGTGATACAAGTTACCACAACGTTTGGAATCTTGGTAAGAAATTTACACTGAAAAGTAGATTTTTTTTTCCCTGTATTATCAGCATTTTTTATGTATTAAACACTCAGATTTGTACTCTAGGTTGTGTTGAGTAATGGCAAGAAATTCCATTATGTTGGTATGCAGAAGTACAAGGTATTGCAATTAAAACTGACTTTTTAAAGAAATATGTCAGATTAAATAAAGCTTATTAAGAGCTTGCATGGTCTTGGTTCCAGGAAAATATTAAAAATTGCATTAATAATTAAGTTGTGTCAAACATTCATAGCTTTTTCAGCAACTTGTTAACCCTTTTTGCAGTCATCAGTATCTACCAATGAGGCACTTGAGAATTGGGCAAATTACAAATTAGTTAATTGCAATCCAGTGTTTTGTAGATGTTATTAACTTGACTTGATCCTTGATCCATGTCATGGATGTGTCTTGCCTGTAACACAAGAGATGTTCATTTAACCAACCTGATACCATGTTTCTGCCCCGGCAGCCATCCACCAGCCTCCTCCTTCAGGTGTATAAAAAAGTGAAAAGGTTCGGCCACCAGGAGGCAGTACCATTTCTTTTAGAAGTGACTTCTAAGGTATGTCTTTGGGAAGTGCTTAACTCCTTTCTGGGAGTGAATTAGGAGCCCTTATCCCTAACAAGTGATGGTTCTCTAGAGTTCTGATCTCCATCCTCAGTTCACTGAGTTGTTGTTGAAGGGCTATGTTTGGGCAGTTGCTGTGCAGTCTGTGGTGTTTTTATTTTGTGTCCCTCTGTCCCTGAAGTGCGTCGAGGCAGGTTTAGAACTCTCTGAGGACAACCTCTCCTTCATGCAGCGCCAGCTCGAGCTCCTTCAGGCGCCCAGGCAGCACATAGATGTTATTGTGTCCATGAAATCCAGGTGGGTGTGTGACATCGGCGACGAGGGTGGAGCTGCAGGCGGTCCCGGTGGCAGGGGGTCGACCCTGCTCTCCTGCAGCTCCTGTGTCCAGGGTTCGATTGCAGCTTGGGTACTCCAGGTCTTCACCAGGAGCTCCGTTTCCCTCCCGCCTCTCAAAGACACGGAGCTGGAGACCGATTCCCTTTCTGGGGGGATTTCTTACTCGGGAGTGTTGCATATATTATGGCCAGTCCTGGCACTAGAGATTTATAACTAAATCGGTGTGGTGGTCCCAATGGCTTCTTCTCATGTGTGTTTTGGTGAACAAGCCTAGGAATCTGTGTTTTTTTTAAAATGACTTGACATCACTTACTCTGAGTCAGTTTCGATTGATTTTTAACATTGTAGTCAGAACTTGTTACAGAGCTTATAACAGTTTCTTTGCTGTTCAGATATCATTCATGATGCTGTTTAGTTGTCTAAGGTGCTTAATCTGCCGGTACTTTTTGCGAAGTTGTGATCGTGTGTTTTGCAGGGCGCTGAAGGAAGAAGAGGAAGAAGGAGGGCAGTTTGACATCGATGAGGCTATCGCTGAATTAGAGGTAAGCTTCTAAGGTACAGTGGACACTGAAGGACAGATCTTCACACTGTTCAATGTCTGTACAAGCTGCCCCAAAATTGTGATTTCTGCGTTACTGGAGGACTTTTTTTGTTC